TCTGTAATTTCTCCTCTTTTCTTCTCCAACAGGTTATGTGTAAAGCACCTGTTATTTCCTACTACCTCTCCAACACCTCTCAATTTAGTTCCAACTCCAAGCCTCCTTTACCTGCAGATTAGTTTCCCAGACAGTGATAAAGATATTTAGTTAAAACAGCAAAAGGCAGGTACTTTGGAAAGACCATCAATACTGAGGGTCAATATACAGAAGATGAATGTCAATGGTAATACGTCTCTCTTGTAGAAGCAGGGAAAGTGGAAAGCAGGGAATGCAGAAGCAAAACATAGCACCTCTCAAATGAGTACCAAAGAAAACAGTGTGATGTTTAACTTGGGGAAAAGTTCAGTTAATACAGTGGAAGAGAAGCAGTCTTCAACACAAATATTTAAGAAGTCATTGAAGCTGAGGAAGTCTTTTGTTTTATTTTTATTTATTTATTTTACTTTAAAGAAGATAAAACGAAATGGAACAAAGCAGATCAGAAGAAAACAATGTAAGTGCCACAGATTTCAAAGCAAGACAACAGGGGATCAATAGTTGCTACCATAATGTCTCTTGTTTTCTTCTAAACAGTTGTCTTTATCTTCACACACAATGAATTCATGCAAAACAAAATAGTATAAAACTTATCAAAACAGAATAATGAAGGCATTACAGGCCTCCAAAACCAGACAATAGAAAATCAACAATGACTACTGTAATGTCTCTTGTTCTCATCAAAATAGCTGTCATACCTTCATGTATGTTGAAATTAAATAATACAAAACAGACTAAAACCACTACACACAAAGAATAAAAGCACTACTGGATTTCACAGCATGACTATAGGAAATCAGCAATGGAAACCATAATGTCTCTTTTTCTTCAACATAGCTGTTCATTTCATCACGCATAATACAATCCATTCTTGTAAACTATTTAGGAGAAGTTCTAGGCATGTATAAGCCCTACATGTACATCTATCCTTTCTGCATTAGAAGGGAAAACAAAAAAATCCCCAAATTAATAGAAAAACAAGCAATAAAAAGATAAATAAGTAACAATGAAGCTGAGGAACTTTTGCTGTTGGACAAATTTTAGATAGAAGGGTTGGATGAAGAGAGGGTTAATGGATAACAAAGTAGTCTGACATTTGAGAAATATGACAAACTAAAATACGAAGGATCATGCATGGTTGTATAGGGAAAGATTACTTAAAATTGAAGGAGATATGGGAAAAATACAAGAGCTAAGCAAAAATAGTATTGATATCTCATTCTTCTGAGAACTTTTCATTATTAACACTTTAAGGCTTTAGTGTTCTCATTTAGTAACACTGACTGGTCCCCATATAGTAAAGGGTTTTTGTACCCAACCCAGAGTCTTCTTTCTTGCCAACTCACAAATTAATAAATGGATTTTTTTGGTCTTTTTGAGACAGGGTCTCACTCTGCAGTTCAGGCTGGCCTTGAGCTCACTTTGTAGCCCAGACTGGTCTCGAACTTGCAATGATCCTCCTGCCTCAGCCTTCCAAGAGGTGGGATTACAGGCATGTGCTACCATACTTGGCAATGAATGGGTTTTAAAAGTCCATGATAAGTTTCTCCAACCTTTTAGAATTTTCTTCTCAGATAGCAGTATGTTACAAGTAGATCTCACTGGCACTAGTTTCTTTTGTCTCTGCTGATGAGATTTTTCTACTTGAGTTATTTCGAAGAATAGAAGTAGAGGCTTACTCTGATTGGCAGGGTGGTTAGATGAGGTTGCTGGCAGTAAATCTTGATAGGTGTGCTGGTCATTGCTTTTCTTTCGAGAGGTGACTTGTTTTTCTTTCCAGATCTGGAATGAAAAGTAGAGATTAAATCAGTTATGGCTTTTACTTACAGTTTGGGGGCACCAGAAGTGGGCTTTTCCCCCTAATGGAGTCTTTACAAAGTAGCAAGTTTATATATAAATTCTCCTGACAGGCTTAGCACAGACTGCAGCTCCTCTCATATTTTTGTTCTTTCTACATGAATTTTCTCTGGGAAGGAAGTGGACTAGTCTTTGCGGTGCCATGCATCCTTAAGGCAGTTTATAAAGTCATTCTGCTCAAGATGAAAAAGTCATTGTGATACATAAATAATCAACACAGTCTTGGCTCACAAGATTGTCCAACAGCCCTTTCCTTAGTCCCTTAACTAAGTGTGGCATCCTTCTTACATGAAAATGATAACCTTTTGGTACAAAAGGAAAACTGTGACTTGTGGGGGAATAAAATTTGAAAGGAAGCATCTTATTGAAGGTATCTACCATCATATAAAAAAGGCCTAAGATCTTATTTGGAATTTTTTTTGAAGTATAGAATACTTTTAAGATCACCAAACCAGGTGTGGTAGTACACACTTATAATCCCACCATTTGGGAGGCTGAGGCAGGAGGATTACTGTGAGTTCGAGGCCAGCCTGGGCTACAAAGCCAATTGAAGGCCAGCCTGAACTGCACAGTGGGACCTTATCTCAAAAGGATAAAAAAAATCATCAGAGATAGTTTTACATGTGTCCATGTAAGGCAATTCCTGGGCTGCAGGCCATTGCTAGTCAGTGGCCTATTAGGAACTGGACTGTCCAGCAGGAGGTGAGCAGCAGGTGAATGAAGCTTCATTTTTTTTTTGAACAGCTCTCCTCATTGCCACCTGAGCTCCACATCTGTCAGATCAGCAGTGGTGTCAGACTCTCCTAGGAGCAAAAACCCGACCTTGACCTGTGTGAGAGATCAAGGCTGCATTCTCTTTATAAAATCTAATCCAAGCCCTGACCCCCTATTCCCCATCGTGTCCTTGGAAAACCATCTTCTATGAAATGTGTCCTTGGCCAAAAAAGTTGTAGACAATTGACATAAGTTTTAAATGGTAAAATGTGCCATCATGGATGTTTTGTTGTGCAGAATCAACAGGTATATATGAAAGTTGGAGCTGTGATGGTGTTAGATACATTTGCAACTTGTATTTACTCCAAAGCAAAATATTTTGATATTATTAATGTGTGTGGTATTTATCAGAAGAGACGCTACTTCTTGAATTGCTTCCCAGTATGCATCTGAGAACAATTAAATACTTAGTAATTGAAGGAGTTAGGCATCTCAGTGACTCACATTATCCACTAAGCAATTAATTTGTTAGAGAGTAAATCGGTGGATACGGTAGGCTGAATAGTCATGGACATTTAACTTGAGATTTAAATTAGAAGCAGCAGCAAATCATTTACAGATGTAGGGAGGCACTTACAGGTAAGATAATGTGCCAAGGTGTCAAAGCAGGAATGAAAGCCAGACATGGTGGTGCATGCCTATAATCCCAGAACTCTGGGAAGCTGAGGTAGGAAGGCCTCAAGTTCAAGCTCATTCTGAGCAATTTAGTAACTTAACAAATAAAAAATAAAAATGGGCTAGCAACATAGCTCAGTGCAAAGACCCTGGTTCAATCTCCAGTACTGGCACAAAAGAAGAAGGAGAAGGAGAAGGAGAAGGAGAAGGAAAGAATTAATCTTGCCTGTTAGAGAACCAAATAAAGGTCAGTGAGGCTGGAGTGAAGGGGTTTGGAACAGAGTAATAGAAATAAAAGAGGGCAAGGGATCAGTGTGAGGAACTTAGAATTTGTATGTAGTAAGATGAAAGACCATTAATAAAATTTACAGGGAAAACACTCTGACAGGCAGAGGAGATTAAGGGGTAGAAATAAAATAGGCTGAGGCAGTTAATGAGGAGTGATGTGTGGTGACAGGAAGGCTAAAGAATGGGAGAAGTCAGGAGCAGTTAAAGGAGAGCAATTAAAAGGAAGGAAGAAGTCAAATAGTCAAGCAGCTGGGCTGGATCTCCAGGTCTAAGTGAGAAGACAGTGCTTCTATAGGGAGCTTCATTTACATGCAGACTGTAAGGACTTGAAGCTTTCTAAAAACAGAATGTAGCCGGGTGTGGTGGCTCATGCCTGTAGTCCCAGTACTTGGAAGGCTGAGGCAGGAAGATCGCCATGAGTTTGAGGCCAGGCTGGGCTACGTAGTGAGTTTAAGACTAGCCTGAACTACACAGCAAGACCTTGTCTCAACAAAACTAAAAAAAAAAAACAAAAAACAAAAAAACCCAGAAACAATGTCTTTACCAGTCACTGAGGTCCTGGGTTACTACTGGCTTCTGATCTCTTGAGATATTTTCATAATCAAGGAGCTGTATTTTTTTCCTTTTGTTTTCTTTTCTGGGCAGGCTTCTTGGGTACCAGAGGTGGTGAGTAAACTGGATATGTGGATGGTTAAATTTGCCCTGAGATACTGTTTACAGGACCTGGGCAGCCTCAAAGTTCAAAAGGGGAGAATTAGGAGAATTAGTGTTTATTATGTTAAGGTCCATGGATTTTACATACCCAGTCTCTCATTCACTCTTCTTGAAGTAATACCTTGTAGGGTACCTCTATTAACTCACAGGTTTAGAAAATAGAAAGCAAATCTGCAAGAGGTTTTCTGTATTTTGTTCTAAGTTCACAGAACCTGTATGTGGTGGAGCCAGGCCAGGAACCAGAGTCAGGTTCTCTGCATTGAATCGAGCTTAATCTGTTCTATAACTAAGTCTATACCATCTATATCTGTCATTTTTCTTTTATTACCAGACAGATCCACCAAAGAATCCATGTGGGGTCAGGGTCGATTTCCCTTTCTGGCCTGTGCTATTTCGGCCTCCCGTGCCCCAGAGTACCTAGTGCAGGGTACTCTGTCTGGAGGCAGAATTCCCTTCCTCCTGCTGCTGTTCGGGCTGAGTGAGGGTGGCGAGGCGGACAGAGCTGTGCTGCCAGGCGATGGGAAAAAGCGACTGTGCTGCCTGGGCATTGCCCCGAAGGCATTTTCCACTTCCCGGGCCCCTTCCGCTCCGCAGACCTCACCCCTCGCCCTACAGCTTCAGCTCAGGCCCGTGGGGGGCGTCCCTGGCCGCGGGCTGACAGCACGGGGGCGCGGGGTCTCGTCTCTGCTCTCGCCCATCTGTGCGCACAGCCTCGTTCCCGGGCGCCTGGAGCCCGGCGGGCATTGACGTCAAGCGGTGGCGGCGGAGCGCTGCCTACAGACGGCTGACCCGGGCCCTCCTCCGCACCCCCTTCCTTCCTCGCCCCCTCCCTCTTCCCGCGCACCGGGGCTCGGGCTCGCTATAAAAGGCGGGAGAGCAGGGTGCCCGAGCAGCGACGGATTTCAGAACCATGGAGAGCGCCCGCCTTCGGCTGCTGCCGCTCCTGGGCGCCGCCGTGTTCCTGATGCTACCTCTGCTGGGCGCCCGCGCGCAGGAGGACGCTGAGCTCCAGCCCCGAGCCCTGGACATCTATTCGGCCGTGGAGGATGCCTCCCACGAGAAGGAGCTGGTCGGTATTCCCCTCACCCCAGAACCTCTCGGGCTGCCACGCGGTCCCTTGCCTGTACGAGTCCCTTCTTCCCAGCCCCATTCCCAGCCCCGGGGGTCGCAGCACGGGGAGCTGGGCGCAAAGCCTGCGCACCCTCTGCCATCGGAAGATAGACTGGAGCCCGGGCTCTGAGCTGTCTGTACAGCTTCTCAGAGCAACGCCAGCCTCGGCGCCCTGGGATCCGAGGTCAGGACCAGGGACAGTACCCGCTGAGCTGCCCCGAGTCCCACAGCGGAATGTGTGGGTCTCGGGCTTCTAACTAGGGCTGGGCTCGCAGCCAAGGCGGCAACTTCGGGATCCGGGCGGTGTATTGCAGATTGAAGCGCTGCAGGAAGTCTTGAAGAAGCTCAAGAGTAAACGCATTCCGATCTATGAGAAGAAGTATGGCCAAGTCCCCATGGTAAGACTCTGGGGTCACTCCTCTCCCGTGTTAGGAGAAAATGCACTCCTTGAATCAGATACACGACCTTTACCCGGGATGGGGCCAAGTAACTCAGGTCATGGGCTTGCCTTGTTTTATTGGGTCCCTTTGGTTTCAGGGCCTGCTCTTGTCCCTTGGTCTTTAGGGCAAAGGGGGACAGACTAAGTTGGAAGATTCAACAGCTGTGCTAGGAATGAGTTCTATAATCTGTGTGGGAAGGAATATTTCCAGAGCATGAGTTTTTGGTTTCATCTTAAGAGAAATAATCCTCCAAGCTGAAATCTACTCAGTTCTTGCTCCCTTATTCCTTCCAGACCACAGCCATATATATAAATCTAAGTTCTGCAGTCAAAAATTCATGGCTGGCTCACTTCTTTTGAATAGTTCTGGGTAAGGGCAGCGCGCACTCACACACAGACGTGCACACACCTTCTACCTTCTTGAGAAGACATGAGTAAGTGGGGAAGCAGGAACAAAGACTGAGAGAAGATATAAGTACATTGTTTATTTCAAGGTCTACTTGAAAAATTTCCTTTTAGATAAGCAAGAAAAGAAGACAGGCAATATGACCCCTCAGGCAGGTGGAAGAAAGTACTATCGTGAGAGGCTAATGTACATTTCTTTGTAAAAATAGCCTCTCATAGAAACTGTGAGCACGAGGTTTTCTGTCTTTCAAACCTGATTCTCTGCAGATCAGACTTCTGCTGATGGTGTGGGGTCTAATTGTTCCTCTTGAGAGGCAGAGAGTGGTTGGCGGGGAGATGTTGAGTCCCACATGCATTGCCTCTTGGGACTCCAATGACCACACGCTGTGTTGTTTGCAGTGTGACGCTGGAGAACAATGCGCAGTGCGAAAAGGAGCCAGGATCGGGAAGCTGTGCGACTGTCCCCGAGGAACCTCCTGCAATTCCTTCCTCTTGAAGTGCTTATGAGGGGGCTTCCATCCTCCTGCATATTCCCCATTTCCCGTACTCCACTGAGAGGGTCACACATTCATCGTGGAGTTTGGCTTTAGCAACAAATAAAGTTTGCATTTTCCTCTGAGGGTGAAGGGGCTCTTTCTCTGCTGTTTTAAAAATAAAAAGAACACATTTGATGTTACTGTGTGAAGGGTAATGTTATGTTGGGGTTGATAGGTGTGCAAAGTATTCTTTCCTTGTTTTATTTGTCTGATGAACTCTTGTGTATCTTTGGGTAAAGAAGAGGAAATTTGCTTTGAAAATTGTATTTTTGTATGTGGCATGACAGAGTGAAAATTAGATCTAGTTAAACTTGGTGACATCACAATCTGGAAAATAATCACCCTAAGTAACACAAATTGAAGCATGTACAAGTTATACATAATAAAGTGTTTTTAATAATTGCTCATCGTGCATTGTCATTTCTACTTAAGAAATTTAGGCAGGAATAAGGAGATTAATCATGCTGTTGTTTTCAAAGAGAAATACTTCAAAAATAGCAGTCTACTGGGAGAACAGCACCTTAGCTCCAAAGAGTCTTGATCACTAATTAGGAGTCTACCACACTAGCCTCTGTGTAGTACATCTTTCTTTGACTGCAGTAGTGTGAACTGTGTGTGTATGTGTGTGATGGAGATGTTGGACTTGAGGTGATACTATTTTATTTATTCAAAACTTTAGCTAGACTTCTTAATTTTACCAGTAAGACTTGTCAATATAAAATATCAACTCTGTTTTAAAGGAAATAGATGGTTTATTCAGAACCAGATATGAGTGATCATGGCCTAGATATATGGATTCAAATTACCTTGAATGAAATGCTTTGACATGGAAGGGTAAATTTTTATAGCGAAAGACCAAAGAAAGTCATAAGTCAACATTCAACAAATAGATTGGTGAAAACATTGGTAAGCAAACTATAGCAAAGTGGGGAAATCTTATCTTCCAGTCAGATGATACAGCATTCTCAACTTTACAGTTGGTGGAAGCTAAGAGATCTGCTAAGCTTAATCATGCACTCTGAGCGGTTACCAAATAGTCATACAAATTTAAAAATACTAAAGTTAAAAATATGTACCTAATATATGCCTAAAAATATGTGACTGTTTTTCTAAAGAGCCTAAGATAGTCCAGACAACTTGGCATTAGCCATGCAATGTTTCACCTTTCCACAACTCTTCTGGTATCCTACTCAATCCAGATGAAGCACCCTGTAGGATCTTTAACATAGATGCAGCTTCTTCCCTGAGAACTGCAGCATCCTAGGCCAATAAAAGATAAATGGTTTCAGACTTTCACACTAGACACAATTTGAAAAGTCGAGACTTTATTTTGACAATTTCTCTATTAGAAGGTTTTGAATAGACTCTTTAAGGTTTGTTTGTCCAAAGAAAGGAAATTCACTAGACCAGGGGACCATTCATTTCCACCAGTAAAATATATATCCTTGGAAAAATTCCCTGTTCAAGAAAGAGTTGTTTGAGTAACAGTTTAGATACAACGCATGTGTGGCCAGTTGACTTACTGATAACAGACCTGATGGTAGGTTCGCAGGCAAAACCTTAATTGACCAAGGGCAGAAAACAGAAAAGAGGCTTCAGTTTGAAGAGGAGAATAGCTGAAGGGGACGCATGTCTGCTGGAAAACATCAGATTGGCCCCTTAACAGAAGAAAGGGACTAGCTTTTGTGTTTTTTCCGGCGTGGGCTAGAGGCTGGTAACTTCGACCTGATCCCTGGCTCTCTTGTTTCAGGAGCTCAGTGCTCGAATTCTTGTCCTTGGAGACCCTGAGAACACCTGGGCCTTGCAGTAAAGAGTCTGGAATACCAGGAGGGCATATACTAGGGAAGACAGGGAAAAAGACCTGTCTCCACTTAGTGGGAGGAAGTAATGGATTAAGCCTGAGAAGATGAGTTTCTTGTCCCATGAGGGTGCATGTCTTATCTCAGTTTTGAGAAGAATGATTAAAAATTAGTGGTGGAAAATTCAACTCAGGAATGAAAACAAAATTAAATGTTGTTTAGTAATTTTGAAATGTTTCTGAGTGCTTACTCATAGTCGTATTTCCAAGGGTTTAAACCAGACTAAGTAACATTAAGAAGCAGTATCATAAGAGAAGGACATGCGAACAGCTTCCTAATCCAATTCCAAGAGGCTCCTGAATAATAATAGAACTTAAAAAATGAAATCCCTCCATGGAGTCATGAGGAGACAGAAAGTGCTGGTAGGAAATATTTTCATGTTAAAGTACCATTCACAGTTTTCTTATTGTTGCTATCAGCGTGTTTAATCCTTCTAATCTTGCAAGATAGGTGTTACCATTTTTTAGAGTAGGAAATAGAAGTCAAGAAAAATTATGAAATTTGCTTAAATCATGCAATTCTAACTCATAACTTCAGCTGGGCTATCTTTGACTTTCCCTCCATGTCTCTCTGGGCATTCAAGAGACTGTGAATTCCCCAGAAAGAACCACTTTCTTTAATAAAAATGACCTCCCTGGGGGCCTGTGTGTATTTTTTGTGATCACATTTTCATTTGAATTCTATGTCAGGCTTATTTGTGATTAAAATGTGATGTTTTAAAATCTTTAAACACTGCAAAGAAATATTTGATAATTTTACAGTCTGCTACATTTTTAGAATTGTTTCAGCTAAGAATCATAATGTTCTTGAATGACTTAACCATTCCTATCTATGTCTGTCCTAAATAAATCAGATCAGAAAATTACTTTGCCCTTTTACTAACATACAGGCAGCGGCCTCAGGGATAACACTAGAACTGCTTAAACCTAGGATATTTCCCCGGAACTGAGAAATACTGGAGGAGTATACAGCTCAAAGAATGGAATACAAACATGTCTACTTTCCCCCCTCACCTCTACCTCTGCGATATCCTCTGCTTCTTTTTTTAGTCAGACTAAACGTATGAAAAAGTGGTCATTGGGATTGATGATGTGGTCTGTGTGGGTGAGGTATGAAAAAAGTTTGTCTAAATGTTTTGGTTAAGGTTCGGATTCTGAGTTAGTGACATGGATGATGTTTTATACTAAGGAGGCCACAGTGACTTGTTAGAAATGACTTTGCCTTCCTGTTGTTTCAATTTCCACCTTTGATTAGAATGAACTGGTATGTTTAAAGATTAATGGTCTCTATGGTAGAGGAAATGGGTGTTTTTTAAAAAAAAATTATTTTAAAGAGAAAAAAGAAAAAAGAGAAAAATCAAGAAGCAAACAAACCTAAAAGTGACAACAGAAGCAAAATGCAAATAACAAAAACAACCACAAAACAATAGCTATCTAGGTTTTCAAAACAAGATGATAAGAATTTACAATCATTGTTATACTGCATATTGTTGTCTTCAGAATAGTTGCCAGGTTACCAGATACAGGAATAAAACAAAACAGTAAAATGGAAAAAAAAATCATTGGATTTCAAAAAAAGGAAATCCCCCACAGGTGTCACAGTGCACACTGCCATCCTCCAAATAGATGCCCAGACCACCAGCCCCAGGCCTGCAAAGTCAATCAAACAACACAAGCATCAAGCTATTTCTTCACCTCATTTGCTATCATCTCACGCTGAGTCCTCTGAATCAGACAGTTGCTTACTGGAGGTGGGGGGTGGGGGGATAGGCTCTTCTGGTTTCCCGGCCTGCACACTGGCTGGCTCACAAGAAGGTGTGGTTTGTCTTCTTGTTGAGTCTCTTCCAATCTCCATTGCAGAGCCTGGCTCATGGGGAAATTAATGTTAAAGTTTTCATGAGAAAAGTAGTTACCCACATACGAAGCCCAGAGACTGAAACTGCCTGAAAGCCCAGACCTCGAGATCTGACAAGCAGCTATATCTGATGACCCGGGGAATATTATAGGGTATAGGAATGATGTACCTAGAGCAGTGGTTCTCAAAACTGCCTGGAAAAGGGGTGTGGAAGTTATTACTCTTCTTAATGACTCATGATCATTCTTTGTCCCATATTAATTACAAGTCTTGTGCCCACATCCTAGGCCAGTATCTGGAGTACGGTGAGGGGCACATGGGATACTTGGGTAATTGCACTCCCTTTCCACCCTAATAAATCTAAATGTGAGATGAGGTGAATAGTTAAGGACTGTGTAGGTTAAATAAGATCTTTGGGGGTTGTGGTAAGCTTTCTGTCTTAGAGCCTCTGGAATGCTGAGTTAGTTTTTATAGGGCTTCATTCATTAATTTGTTCCACATTTTCCTGAGTGCTTTCCATCTGCTAGGTGCCAAATACATAATGGCAAACAAGACAGACCTTATCAGGCTCGGGGATTTAGCTCAGTGGCTTAAGCACCTGCCTAGCAAGTGTGAGGTCATGAGTTCTGTCCCTGATACAAAAAAACAAAAAACAAACAAAAAAAAAACACGACATCATCTCTGTCCTCATAGTGTTCATAATCCAGTGGGGAGAACTGACACCAAGAACAAACAAATGAAAAGTGTAAGTCATGAGAATTTGATGACAGACACTAAAGAAATAAATGGTGATATCTGTACTGAAAACTAAAGGAGAAAGGGTCAGTTTTGATGGGCATAGGAGAGGAAAGGAAATGACAGGGAGAGAGCTTCAGGCAGCAGGTGTGCCCATTCAGAAGGCAATGGCAAAAGAGATGTTGGCAGATTTAAGGAACTGAACGATGACCATGGGCTTAGCCAGTGAGTGGCACATGGAGGGAGAGATCCACATGGCTACACCATGTCTCACTCTGTATTCCCTCAGATGTAAACATTGCTTTGATCAGATGGAATTAATCAGACCTTTATTGATCAAGGACATCACAGAGGAAGCGGGCTGATGGTGAGCAAGATGGTCTCCTGCTGTCAAATCTCAGTCTGCTTGTCTCACTAGTGAGTGAATGAAATGCTCTCCTGCCTGATTACTGTATGTCTATGATTTATGACCCTTACCTTCTCATGTACAAGGGGTTTCCACCCTTGAGAGTTTATCAGCACAACTGTTTCAGCTTGTGAGAATAATTTATGTAAATATTTTTTAGCAAGTTTTCCCTGATCTGAGAAATCAGAAGAGCAGAGCTCATAAATTAAGAGCCGACAGGAGATGATCAATAGAGTAGGGCTCTTGGCAGGAATGAGAGGATGAAACTCAGAACTAGGGAAAGGATTCCTTTTGGGCAGCAGAGGAGAGCACACAATGCAATTGCTTTGTAGGTATGTGGTAGGAAGCTGGGATTCTTATGTTATGGCTTCTGAAATCCAAGAAAAATAGGGTATGAAGCTCGCTGAGGAGAGGAAGCACATAATTCATTGCATCATTGTAGATATATAATGATGGAATAAAAACCATCTAAAAGTTGATCAAAGGTAAACCTCTACCACAGAACAATAGATTTACCATTGTAATATATTATTAAGTGCTAGATGGAG